TTTGTTTTTTTGGACAGTTAGTGATTTGGTGAGCAATGTATTTTATGGGATTCTGGCTAATTTTGCCTGTTGCCAGAAAAACTGTTAATCTTTCTCTAGATAGTAATTATATATAGCATTTGTAGACCTATAGGTGATATTAACTTAGTTTACAGTGAAAACAGTTATAGACAGCACTTTTGAGTTTATGATTTCTCAGTATGTTAATTTCCACATCTCCTGCACTAGTTTTGAGAATTCTTGAACCTCCGTCTGCCATTACATAAGTCCACAGAGGAGTGCAGTGGGTATTCTGTGATTCATATTTTTAAATTTATACCTTGTATGTGTAAAAATGTATACTTTGAAGCATTTTTATTGGGCAAAGTGGGAGATGGCTTAATATTGCACTTTGACTAACGGACTTGACTTCCTTGACTCATTTCCTGCCCCCTATGAATGTTTCCTTCATTTTGCAAAAAAATTTGTATTTCAGCTCTTATCTAAAGGTGTGTGCCAACATCCATTGTAAGAGAATAATTACAAATACAAGTCTCACGTGTCTTTAATTCCGTCTATATCTTTGCACTGTCCTCTGTGAGTGTACACTGTTCTGACAACATCCTGGCATTTTGAGCAGCACCTTCACCCCTATTCTACAGGGAAAGAATAATAACCCAGCTCGTGGTCTTATTAAACTTTACACAATAAAACTGTGTGTTTTTTCCCCCCTAAAACTCCAAAGCTAGCAATATCCTTAATTGTATAAAATAAATTGTAAATAATGAGATTATCCTTAAATATTCTAATTGGAAGAAAAACATTTAAGGTAATGTATCAGCCACAGAATTCACAAAATCAAACTTTGGTATTAACTTTCAGGCACAGCTGCTCTTTCAAATATAGTAAAGAGTTGCAGGAAATGCTTCCAGGATTTAGACCCAGTTTAGAAGGGCATTCCAGCCATGTATTCGCAGTTTTACTTGGGGCATGTTATTTAATCTCCTTGTTTCTCAGTTTCTGCATTTCTAAGTGTGACCCGTTATTCATATCCAAACTGTGTTCCGAAGTTTTAATGAAATCCCCATGCCATATACAATTGTGAAGGCTAAATCTTGTATTAATAGTATGTGCACAGTTAATAAATGACAGTTTTGATTAGGAGCAAGTATAGTGTCAGGCATTTTGATTGAAAATTGTGAATAATAAAAAATGAATAGTGAACACAAAACGCCACGATATTACAAATTCTGTATGCTATCACTTCCTTTATCCTCCAGGAAACTCTATAACGGAGGTATTATTATCTCCAGTTGAAAATGAGGAAATTGAGGTAAATATGTTATCAGGTAGATGGCAGCAACAGCTGTTCTACACATAAAGTGAAAGGGAGAACTCTGCAGGCAGAGGACACCTACAGTCCTCACCACTCTCATCTTCTCCTTGTACATCCACTATAAGGACTACTGTTTATGCCAGCGGAGCGTGGAGGTCTTTTTTTGTTTTGTTTTGTTTTTAACTACAAGCTATTATGCAAATAATTTAGGTACTGTTCAAGTAATTTTAGGGTATTAATCTTTGAGTTTAATTTCCTTGGCCTCCGAAGTTTAATTAACGTACATACACTGCCATCTTGTGGTCATTTCCTAGAATTATTTTTTCATGCGAATGACTTCTCTAAGCCATGAGATGGATTAATGTAACTGACCCTGGAACAGAGAAAAAATAACATGGTTTTGCAGCTTTTAATGACTTCATGCCAAAATACATATTTCTATCAATGTTATATGTAACTTAAGGAATATAACTGACACCGCACACCTACGCAAGGCATAAGGTCTCCTGGCAAAGGGGATACTATTGCACACACTGGTAAGAGAATCTTGTCTGTTACAGACAGGTTGCCAAATGCTTAGAACGTTAATGTTTCTGGCTCTCTCAAAGATAGCTGCATCCAAGTACGCTGTGATGCATGACATAGGTCCTCTTCTGCACTTTTACACTCCTATCCCCCGCAGCTGGAAGTCCCAACCAGCTCTGTTGTCTGATCTCTCTAAAAACTGTCTTCCCCGTGGCCATACACTTCCCTGGTGCAGCATACCACTGCATAATGACTTGGAACACATATAATGTAAAATTATCCCTATAATGAGTTTAATTTGCATTGATTCCTTCATAGAGGTGCATATTTTCCCCTTGTGGTGAGAAATTTCAAGATCCACCATACAGTTTCAAATACACCATACAGTAGCAGCATTCGTGATAATCATCATGTTGTACATGACATCCCCAGTACTTATCTATCTTATAATAAGAACTTTGTATATGTTGGCCACCTTTCTCCTATTCCCATCTCAGGCCTCTGGTAACCACAGATTGGATCTCTTTTTCTATACGTTTCATTTCTGTTTGTTTGTAGTTTAGGTTCCACAAATAAGTGAGACTGAATAGAATTTTGTCTTTCTACATCTGTCTTATTTCACTGAGGGTGATGACCTCGAGAGCCCTCCACATTGTGGCAAATGACAGGATATGCCCTTTAATGGCTAAGCTGTAACCCATTGCATAAATATTTCACATTTTTCTTTACCATTTATCTGTAAATGGATATAGGCTTCCCCCAAAATGTGCCCCTCCCCAATGTTTGGCTATTGTAAATAATTTTGCAATGAACAAGGGTGTGCATATAACTTTTTCATGTCATGTTTTTGTTTTCTTTGGATAAATATCCATAAGTGAATTTTTTAGGGATTTTTCTTCTTTATATAAACTTTCAGAAAATAAGAGCACAGTATAGAAAATATCCTGAAACGGAAACCAAAATACCAGGTACCAAGCTCTCTGGGTAACTATACAATATACTTTACCAATTTCTTTAATGTTCACATTTAGGCCACTAATGTTATGAAACTAGTGGCCTGGGGCACAAAATTCATACATGGAGGGTGAGGGGGTGTTCCTCAGCCCGGCCTGCACCCTCTCCAATCTGGGACCCCTCGAAGGATGTCCAAGTGCTGGTTTATAGGGATTGGGCTTAAACAGGCAGTCAGACATCCCTCTCACAATCTGGGACTGTTGACTTCTAACCGCTCATGTGCCTGCCTGCCCACCTGCCCGATTGCCCCTAACCAGTCTGCCTGCCGGCCTGCTCACCCCCAATTGACCCCCACTTTTGGCCTGCTTGCACCCAAATGCCCCCCCTTCGAGCCTGATCACCTCCAACTGCCCTCTGTGCCAGTGTTCTCACCCCCAACTTCCTCCCCTGCCAGTCTGCTCACCCCCAACTGCACCCCCTGTTGGCCTGCTTGCCCCCACCTCCCCTCCCCACTGGCCTGCTCACTCCCAACTGACCCCCTACTAGACTGTTCTCTCCAAACTGCCCCCCCACACTGTCCTGATCACTTCCAACTGACCCCTATTGATGGCCTGCTCACTTCAACTGGCAACCTGCTGGTTTGCTTAACCCCAATGGCCCCACTCCCCACCAGTCTGATCACCCACAACTGCCATCCTATCCTGGCCTGATGATCCACAACTACCCACCCCTCTTGGCCTCTAACCACCTCTGCCTCGGCCCCACCACCATGCTTTGTCCAGAAGAACATCCAGAATGTCTCCTGGAAGTCTCCCAGTCTAATTAGCATGTTTTCCTTTTATTAGTATAGATAGAGGCCTGGTGTACAGGTGGAGGCCAGCTGGTTTGCCCTGAAGAGTGTCCCCGATCAGGGTGGAGGTTCCTGGGCCCTGTGGTGGTTTGCATGCTGGCCACGATCCCTGTAAACCAGCTAGGTTGGCGTGGCCAGCCTGAGTGAGGAGCTGAGCACTGTTTTCAAGCTGGCCATAGCCAGTCCAGGGTGGGGGGTTCCCGCTGGGGTACCTGGCCAGCCAGGTTGAGGGCTTGAGAGCTGTTTTCAGGCTGGCCTCACCCCCTTCAGAGTATGGGTCCCCACTGGGTGCTTGGGCAGCCTGGGTGAAGGGTTGATGGCTGTTTGCTGGCTGGCCATGCCCCCTAGCAACCCAAGCCCCCAGCCACTCCTTTGTTTCTTTTATTTTTTTTCTCCCAACACCTCCTTGAATGGAGGCCAGGGCCAGCTGGAAGCAGGTATCTGGGATTTATTTATCTTCTATCATTGAAACTTTGTAGCATTGAGTGGAGGTTAGGGCTGGCCAGGGCGGGCAGGAAATTTGGCTTCCTCCATTGCCTGGGGCAACCAAGCCTTCTGCTCGCTCAAGCTCCACAGCTACTGCCATCTTAGTTGGGTTAATTTGCATATTTTATCTGATTGGCAGGTGGACGTAGCGGAGGTACAGTCAATTTGCATGCTTCTCTTTTATTAGATAGGATGAGGAAGACAATGTCCTCCATATTTTATGAATTATACTTTGTATATAAGCAATGCTGAATCCATATTTTGTTCAATTAAGGGCACATAGGTTTTTTTCCTGCTTTGCAAATGTGTAGTTAAAGCAGTGAAACAATAAACCACCTGCAATTAGGCAATATTTACCTTGCAATTAATAAGAATGGACTCTTTGTTTGCTTTGTAAATTACTTTAATGATTGATTTAATATAGAAGTAAAGTTGCAAAGTGAAGAATTATTAGTTCATGTACATTTGCAGGGAAGACAAACACCAGACTTATTGGAGATGTGAGAAGGCAGGGGAAGGAGTAAAACAGAGAAAGAGGAACCCAGTTATGCCATCAGCTGAATTTTGTCAACCTACAAACACTAACTTGCGTGATTTAAATATGGGGCAGGCGTTAAACTGGACTTTTCACTCCAGGAGTAAGAAACAAAACAATGTTCCTTCAGGGTGTAGCAGGACAGGAATGGGTGGCCTTGGTGAAAATATCTGAGGCCCGTGTATGATTAATGAAAATTAGGATCTCTAGCATAATTAAAACCCAACAAAATTCAGCAACTGCTACTGAAGCAAAGTAAGGTGGAAGATACCATGCAGCGGACATTTCACTAACAGCATATTACAGTTGTAACTCACCAGGGTTACAGTTATAAGTCACCATTTGATCTCAGTGGTACAAGTGCAAGTGGCTTTGCATTGTAGTCTGACTGACAGGACTTTACATCCAGGAACCACTTTCTGTATATGGCAGTTAGTGTATTCATCATAATAGATGCAGGGGTTAGCTGAAAGGAAAAAAGGGAATGTTATCTTCAACAATCACAGGCAGTGAGGAAAGAGGTCATCTCCTTAAAGACATAAACATAAAATTGACCAACAATAGCTCCTTAATATTGATTATCATGCACTAATAAAATTAGAATAGAAAACAGGTAATGCATTCAATGAGGTCAGTCATTAAAGAAAAAAAGGTGAAAGTCTCCTCTGATATTAAACAGGTTGTTTTAATTACTATGTTTTGGTCAGGAATATCTGAACAGATTGGAGATGAGTCTTTTTGAGATCATCAACATTATAAACTATAAATAATAAAGTTTTATTTATGTGTTGTCTTCTGATGATATGATGCTCTACCATTTGATAGGTAAGGCATTGCTTTGGATTATTAAAATTAATATACACCCATATGTGCTAGAGTTTGTTTCTGGGCTCTCTATTCTATTCCATTGGCCTTTGTCTGTTGAATCAGCACCACTCTGATTACCATAGCTTTATATAAGCTTTGAAACCAGAAAGTGTAAGTTATTTAGCATTGTCAGTGAGAAGGAAAAAAAATACATAAATGGTCAAAGTAAAAATTATATAAAATGCGCACATAGAATAGTTTCTCAAATTATTTCTTTATCCAGTTATTTTCCTATATAACAACTCAGTGGCTTCTCTACTATGAACAAGCACATATGTATATCAATATTTCTTGAAATCAGTTATCCAACATTATCTCACTGTCTTCTGCCATGTAGTATCTTAGAGAAATATGAAGTGAGAGATGTGTTTTTCTTTTAATGTAACATGTTTTTTCTTTGACTTCTTTAAATTGTTTTTACTGTTCTTATTTCTTTTATTCTTTACTCTCCCTGATTGTATTGAGATATAATTGATATATAACATTGTGTTCATTTCAAGTGTACAACATAATATTATGATGTGCGTATACCAGTATACTATGAAATAACTAACAGTAGTTTAGTTAGCATTAATAACCTTACATAGTTATACATTATTTTTTCTTCTGATGAGAACTGTTAGGATTTACTCCCTTAGTAATTTTCAAATATACAATACAACATTTTTAACTATAGGCAAAATGCTGCACATTACATGTCCATAATTTATTCTTCTTTTAACTGGAATTTTATACCTTTTAATCACCTTAACTCATTCTTTCTGCACCCCATCTCATAGCTTCTGAATAACACTGATCTATACTTTGTTATGAATTTGGACTGTTTAGATTCCACATATCAGTGAGGTAATATAGTATTCATCCTTCTCTATCTGACTCACCTCATCTACACTAATAGAAGAGAAACATGCAAATTGACTGTCACTTTGCAATACCCACCAGCCAATTAGGAGTGAGTATGCAAATTAACTGACAAAGATGGTGGTGGCCCCTCTCTCCAGCTGCTCCGGGTCTATGGGCGGCATGCATGCAGGCATGAAGAGGACGGGTGGGGTGGGACCCCTGCCATTCAGGGGAGGGCAGGGGATGGAGGGAGCTACAAAACTTTGGTATATTGGCTTGTATCCTGCAACTTTACTAAATTCAATTGTGAATCCCAGCAGATTTTGGTAGAATTATTAAAATTTTCTATATCTGCAACTAAATCGACTCAAATCAACAGCCAATATTAAAAAAACTGGAATGTAAAACTTACTGCAAAGTTTGTTTTCACAGTCATGTGGACATTGTCCACATGTAACTCCCTGCGCATAAGGTTTATCCATTAAATCAGGTTCATTTCCCCTTAAGAAAAAAAAAAGTGGTCTAATAAATTTGAAGTTTAGAAAATACATATATAATATACTCACTATTTACAACCAACTTTAAAGACATTTTTTAAAACCACTTGCATATAACAATGATGATCTTTTAGATTAATTTTATATTATTAGACTTTGTAAGTTACACAATGAAAATTTACCTCTTTAAATGTGCAACAGGAAACTCTGGTGTCCTAAGAATATTTTGAGACAGTTTGCGCCTCTTTGAACAGTCAAGTGCTAAGTAGGATGACTTTAGAGCCATTTTCATTAGGAAATTTTTCTTTATATCCCTAAGTACTTGATAAATAGTCACATGAAAGTAGATGGTTCTTAACAATGTTAAAAGTTTTAAGTGAGTGGAATTGATCTAAATTTATCTTGCACTATGTTATAAGAAAATTGATACATGTTACTGTCTTTTATAGATACATATGAAGTATTATGCAAAGTAAAAGTACACCATATTTTACTCAACCTAAAGAGCTGGAGGACAGAGTAGGTAAGACTTTCCAGTCCTGAGATAACTTTAAATTATAGAGAAGACAGGTTTGCCTTCAGATATCTTAAGAAAACAATGTGGATTATAGTTGATTCATATGATAAATAAAGTAAATGTTTTGGCTGAAAGAACATTCTATCTAATATTTTTTCTCCTTGATCTGTATATTGTTAAAAAAAAAAGTACCATATAAAATATATTTATTGCTTAATTAAATAAGTGATCATGTCAGATACACCATGAAATCTTTTTGCTAATAAAATTTTTCAATCACAACTCCACACTTTCTACTTCCTTTTGTATTGTCAGCAGTTCACCACAGACCACCAACCCCTTCAAAGATTTAGCACAATTTATGGCTTTGAAATGTAAGCAGATAATTATTTATCTCATCATTAACTACTTAGATTTAAAAAAAATCACAAGAAATACTAACTACTAAAATAAAGAGGTAATGAGACAAGAAATAAATCACATGGATTTATATGAATATTAGAGGCCCAGGGCATGAATTCGTGCACAGATGGGGTCCCTCAGCCTAGCCATTTATCAGGACCATCTCACCTAGTCCTAATCAGGTTCAATGGGGCCCAGGGAGAAACCACGGGAAGTTGGCCAGCCAACCGGAGTGAGACCCTTGGAGGGCTCCAGAGCATGTCCGGCCCTCTGGCCTAGTCCTACTGGGTAGGACCCCAGCAGCAAGCTAACCTACCAGTTGGAGAGTCTGTCCCTTGGTGGCCAGTGTACATCATAGCAATGGTCCAGCAGTCGACCCAACAGTCGACCAATCAGCCAGGGACATAAATATATTGTTTGTTATATAGGATGTTATAGAAATTGATTCCATAGTGATTTTGGAGACCTCATTTAAAGTGTAAAGGTGATAGCACATGATCAGCTAAATCATTTTCATGGGTTCATATTAATCATCTTTTTATTGTGCTAAAATACCATGGGACAAAGCAGCACACCTGCCCTTCACTGAAGTAATCAAATTATTTCTTCTAGGAATTGGCACTCACACTGTGGGTAAAATATGAACTTAATTTTTAAAGAAAAGACATATATCACATATATCGACAGTTATAATAAAAAGCTAAAGGCAAGAACATTTGGCTTTTTCCGTTTATTCTTAATCCTCCATTGTATTTCTGCCTTTGCATTATACAATTACTCTGCATTGTTGAAGTAAATCACCTATTTTTTACCATCAGCTAGCTCAATAACACATAGGTAGACTACTTGTAATATTTCTGAATTTAAGTATTCTATTAATGATATATAGATCTATTTAGAAAAATAAGATGTAAGAAAAAGTGTGTGCGTGTAAAGTTTTAGAAATAGCTAAATAACTGAAATGTAATATTTATTTTATTTTTATTCTCTCTTTGAGAGAATAAAGCTATGTGAACTCAGACTGTAGAATACATACTCATGGCAATAATGACAAACATAAAGATATTGAGGTGACAATCTTTTGCAGCATGATGACACATCACAGCCAATGAGGTAAGAGGAAGCCCAAATCATCTGTAAATATAAAGAGATTATGTTAGTAAAAATTAATATTTTCTAAATGATTTTAATATGAATATTATTATGTATGATTTCAAATGAACATCTTTGTTATTACTATACTTTCAGCATAGTTATTTAGGAAGTCATAAAAACAGAAAGATTCTCATGTATCTAGTGGTTGGTAAGAGATGGTTGACATTTTGTTTCCTCACTTGGGTCAGAGGAACGAGAAATGACCTTATTTGCAAGGTTCTAATCTTCTAAGTGATATTATTATTATTTTTTCATTATTTAGAGCTCAGATGGTAAACTATGCCATTATTCAGTTCCCAGACATGAAAAGACATAGGAAAAAGTGGATCCAGCTCATTATAGCTGAAGGAGAACTGCAAACCTACTGACACCTGGAGCAAAGGACTATGCATGAGGAAATAACATTCAAAGTGCCAACAAGAATAAGAAATTGTGGAAATTAAGACATTTGAAAACAGCTATGCATTTGGGAAAATGGAAAAAAAAAATCAGAGACATAGTCTCAGGCATGATACTTGCTTAGAAAAATAACATGAGATCTCAAAGGTTCACCCTGGATTGATCCCCAGTCTCAAAATGTACCCTGTTAATTAATCAAGGTCATTTCTACAAATTGGCAAAGACTGGGAAGAGTTGCTTTTTGTTCAAATGTCCTTTTTTCGACAACAACAAAGAAATCAAAAATGATATAAAGAAAAATGTGTCCCACTGAAAGAAACAGAAGAAATCACAAAAAACGTGAATACACACAGGCATTGACTTACTATACATAGACTTGTAAAACAACTGTCTTAAATGTGCTTAAAGAGCTAAAGAAAAACACAAAAAAGAACCAAAATAAACCATGGAAACAATATATTAATGATATATTTTAAAAATTAGAATGTCAACAAAGATTAACAACCTTTTCAAGGAACCAAAGAAAAATTCTAGAGTGGAAAATAGCATAATTAAATTCAAAATACTTACTAGAGGTGATCAATAATAGATTTGAACAGGCAGAAGAAAGCATTGACCAACTATGAGACAGATCATTTGAAATTATCATATTTGACAGAGGCTAGGGGGTTTGTGGAACCTCATCAAGTAGACCCATATACATTTTGGGAATGCAAGCAGGATTCAAAAATAAATGTATAATAATAATAGTGACTCTTTCTTGTAATAATAATTTGTTGCATAAGCAGGGTGCTGGAATTGTAAATGAACACTTTTTGTATGCAATTGGTTATCAGTTTAAAACAAATTATTATACTTTTAGAATATTATATATCATCCACATGGCAACCAAATAGAAAATATCTATAGTAAACACACAAAAGGAAATGAGGAGGGTATCAATATGTGCCACTATAAAAAATCCACTAAATAAATAAACAAAAAAGATGGTAATGGAGAGAATGAGGGACAAAAAAGAAAAAGAAAAAAAAAAAAAAAAAAACCAGTTTCCAAATTATAAGAAATAAAACTCTAGCCAATAACAATGGAATATACAAATAAAAAAAAATCTCCAAGATAGACTATCAGTTAGACTTTAAAACTAATTTTAATATATTGTCTTAAATATAACTATGTATTTTTTATCACAAAGGAATGAAACTAAAAATTAAAACCTGAAATACTGGAAAATTTACTAATATGTGTATATTAAAAACACAATTTTACAAGTGTGTAAAAGAGAAATTAAATGAGAAATTAGAAAACATATTCGGACAAAGAATAAAAATTCAACATACTATAACTTAGGGTTAAAGCAGAAAAAAAACCAGTGCTAAAATACATTTATAGCTCTAAATGGTCACATTAAAGAATAAGATCTAAAATGAATAATATAAAGTTTTAGTTTAAGAAACTATAAAAATGTAAGTTAAACCCAAGCTAGCTGAAGGAAATAACAGGTTAAAGTATAGATAAACAAAATAAAGAATAAGAAAATCAATAATGCCAAAAGTATTAATATTCAAAGAGACCAATATAATTGATAAACTAACTAGGTTAACTAGGGGAAAATAGAATAATCAAATAAATTACATAATAAATATCAGATAAAAATAAACAAAATAAAAAAGATAAAAGCAATAGAGAAAATCAATGTTTCTAAGATGTGATTCTTTTTTTTTTTTTTACATAGAAATAGATGCTCAATTTATTTATTTATTTTTTTTTGATTTTTTTATTTTATTTTATTTTTTTTTATTATTTTTTTTTAGCAATCTTTATTGTTCATATTATTACAAAGGTTCCTCATTTCTTCCCCCCTCCACCAGGTTCCCACCCCACCCTCCGTCCCCCCCCATCCCCCATTGTCCTCATCCATAGGTGCAGTTTATGTTCAGTCTCTTCTTCCCTCAATTTCCCCAATAGTAAATCCCTTTTCAGATAGTAAATCAGTTACTTAGCATTTTCTCATATCAATAATACCTCCACATGCCCAATGATACACTTCACACAAAAGACATTTCCCACTAGGTCAACCAGCCTCATCCAGGCCCCACCCAAGGCACTCACAGATCAACACCCCAGCCCTATACTAACTCAACACATCCAGATCTAAGCCTTCATCACTTGATTCAGCAGACACTCAAGTTCCCACGAAAGTTTCCATCCATGTCTGAGAAGCAGCCGTGGGGCAGGGGCAGGCAAGGAGCGAGCTGTTCTGGGGCTGGCTGCTCAGGGCCTGGCCTCTGTTGCTCTGGTTCATTCCACAACCAGCTGCTCCGGGTCTGGTCACTGCCACTCCCAACCTAGTTGCTCTGGACTTGGCTGCTGCTGCTCCGGGCCTGGCCGCTCCCAGCCTGGCAGCCGCTGCTCCGGGCCTGGCCGCACCCGACCCGGCTGCTCCCCCGGGCCTGGCCGCTCCCAGCCTGGCAGCCGCTGCTCCGGGCCTGGCCACACCCGACCCGCCTGCTCCCCCGGGCCTGGCCGCTCCCAGCCTGGCAGCCGCTGCTCCGGGCCTGGCCGCACCCGACCCGCCTGCTCCCCCGGGCCTGGCCGCTCCCAGCCTGGCAGCCGCTGCTCCGGGCCTGGCCGCACCCGACCCGCCTGCTCCCCCGGGCCTGGCCGCTCCCAGCCTGGCAGCCGCTGCTCCGGGCCTGGCCGCACCAGCCCCGCCTGCTCCCCCGGGCCTGGCCGCTCCCAGCCTGGCAGCCGCTGCTCCGGGCCTGGCCGCACCAGCCCCGCCTGCTCCCCCGGGCCTGGCCGCTCCCAGCCTGGCAGCCGCTGCTCCGGGCCTGGCCGCACCAGCCCCGCCTGCTCCCCCGGGCCTGGCCGCTCCCAGCCTGGCAGCCGCTGCTCCGGGCCTGGCCGCACCCGACCCGCCTGCTCCCCCGGGCCTGGCCGCTCCCAGCCTGGCAGCCGCTGCTCCGGGCCTGGCCGCACCCGACCCGCCTGCTCCCCCGGGCCTGGCCGCTCCCAGCCTGGCAGCCGCTGCTCCGGGCCTGGCCGCACCAGCCCCGCCTGCTCCCCCGGGCCTGGCCGCTCCCAGCCTGGCAGCCGCTGCTGCGGGCCTGGCCGCACCAGCCCCGCCTGCTCCCCCGGGCCTGGCCGCTCCCAGCCTGGCAGCCGCTGCTCCGGGCCTGGCCGCACCAGCCCCGCCTGCTCCCCCGGGCCTGGCCGCTCCCAGCCTGGCAGCCGCTGCTCCGGGCCTGGCCGCACCAGCCCCGCCTGCTCCCCCGGGCCTGGCCGCTCCCAGCCTGGCAGCCGCTGCTCCGGGCCTGGCCGCACCAGCCCCGCCTGCTCCCCCGGGCCTGGCCGCTCCCAGCCTGGCAGCCGCTGCTCCGGGCCTGGCCGCACCAGCCCCGCCTGCTCCCCCGGGCCTGGCCGCTCCCAGCCTGGCAGCCGCTGCTCCGGGCCTGGCCGCACCAGCCCCGCCTGCTCCCCCGGGCCTGGCCGCTCCCAGCCTGGCAGCCGCTGCTCCGGGCCTGGCCGCACCAGCCCCGCCTGCTCCCCCGGGCCTGGCCGCTCCCAGCCTGGCAGCCGCTGCTCCGGGCCTGGCCGCACCCGACCCGCCTGCTCCCCCGGGCCTGGCCGCTCCCAGCCTGGCAGCCGCTGCTCCGGGCCTGGCCGCACCCGACCCGCCTGCTCCCCCGGGCCTGGCCGCTCCCAGCCTGGCAGCCGCTGCTCCGGGCCTGGCCGCACCAGCCCCGCCTGCTCCCCCGGGCCTGGCCGCTCCCAGCCTGGCAGCCGCTGCTGCGGGCCTGGCCGCACCAGCCCCGCCTGCTCCCCCGGGCCTGGCCGCTCCCAGCCTGGCAGCCGCTGCTCCGGGCCTGGCCGCACCAGCCCCGCCTGCTCCCCCGGGCCTGGCCGCTCCCAGCCTGGCAGCCGCTGCTCCGGGCCTGGCCGCACCAGCCCCGCCTGCTCCCCCGGGCCTGGCCGCTCCCAGCCTGGCAGCCGCTGCTCCGGGCCTGGCCGCACCAGCCCCGCCTGCTCCCCCGGGCCTGGCCGCTCCCAGCCTGGCAGCCGCTGCTCCGGGCCTGGCCGCACCCGACCCGCCTGCTCCCCCGGGCCTGGCCGCTCCCAGCCTGGCAGCCGCTGCTCCGGGCCTGGCCGCACCCGACCCGCCTGCTCCCCCGGGCCTGGCCGCTCCCAGCCTGGCAGCCGCTGCTCCGGGCCTGGCCGCACCCGACCCGCCTGCTCCCCCGGGCCTGGCCGCTCCCAGCCTGGCAGCCGCTGCTCCGGGCCTGGCCGCACCAGCCCCGCCTGCTCCCCCGGGCCTGGCCGCTCCCAGCCTGGCAGCCGCTGCTCCGGGCCTGGCCGCTCCAGCCCCGCCTGCTCCCCCGGGCCTGGCCGCTCCCAGCCTGGCAGCCGCTGCTCCGGGCCTGGCCGCACCAGCCCCGCCTGCTCCCCCGGGCCTGGCCGCTCCCAGCCTGGCAGCCGCTGCTCCGGGCCTGGCCGCACCAGCCCCGCCTGCTACCCCGGGCCTGGCCGCTCCCAGCCTGGCAGCCGCTGCTCCGGGCCTGGCCGCACCAGCCCCGCCTGCT